TAAAGAAGCAACGCACTTTGACTCAGCAGCCTCAGCATGGTGGTAAGTCACTGTCCAGTTTCGACACCCTGCCTGACAATTCACCGTTGCTTCAGCAAGTTCGAGCCTTCGTCTATGAAAAAGTCGCCCGCCAACTTTCCCTAGTGCCCTTCACTCACGAGACCACCACCCGTCTACCTGCCCCGCTTCGCACAGCTATTTCGGAAGAGGTTGCCCAAGCTGTTCCTCTTGCGCACCACGAGCCGCCTCTATCCAGCCGTGTTCACTACCAGCGTGTCGCGCAGCCGGTAGGCCCTCCTGTCGCCTATTCGCCAGCCGTGCAGCCTGTGGCCGCACCCCTAACGTATGCAGCGCAGTCTGTGGCTCCTCCTGTCGCCTGTTCGTAAGAGATGCAGCCTGTGGTACCGCCATTCACATACGCAGACGCTGTGTGTAGGCTTCCGCAACCACCCTACACCTCGCGCTCACAGCTCGCACACCCAGCTGCTTATACTGCACCTTGGGCGGCACCACCAGTCGCCAATCCTTGGAGGACGCCCGATAACCAACCGATATGCTACGCCTGCTTCACTCCCGGACACGTTGCCTGCTACTGCCGCCGTCGACCTCAGACGTTCGGCGACTATGTCCGATCGTCTTAACCCGGCAGCCAACCCTTCGCGCAATACGGGCGGGTCTCGTCACCTCGCTATGCCCCTCCCAACGACCCCGACTTCGTGACGCCGCGCGCACCCTCTCCTCGTCGGCGATCGCCCTCCCCCATGCGTCGCCGGCCCAGACCTTCTGACCAGGAAAACTAAGCACCGCAGTTCAACAGGCAAGAACTGCGCCGTTTTCGAACTGTCTAAGCCCTCGCCCCTCTCCTGCTAACGTGGTTGCAGTAACTGTTGAAGGTTATTGTACTTTCGCCCTTGTGGATACCGGCGCCGCTGTTTTGTTATTGCCGCTAATGTCTGCCGTGTATTACGTAAAGTCACGACGCCGCTTTCGGGACTGTCACTCCATACTGCAAGTGCACAGCAAGTAACGCCTCTCGCAGCCTGCAGTGCAAGAGTGTCCATCGAAGGCATTGTTTACATTGTGGAGTATATTGTCCTCGCTGTCTGTTCGCATGACGTCATCCTCAGATGAGACTTCCTATCCCACCATAATGCCGTCATCGACTGCGCACGCGCTGAAGTTGAGTTTTCACCCTTTTGTGATGTCCCATTACTTGATGCTCTTCATCAGCCGCCGAAGTTGTTCATGCATGAAGATACCGATATTCCACCTGAAAATTTCGCACTTGTTCCAGTTTCATGCAACGCCTACACTGACGCTACAGTCTTTTTTATGCCTTCCGATATCTTCACGAGTCGTCGAGCTGTGCCGCTGCTTTTCGCAACGATTGACCTTGCCGCCAGAAGAAGCAATATGTTCATACTCAACCCGCTTTCCACACCTGTCACTTTGCTTGCGGGGGAATGTCTCGGCCGCGTGCAGGATCTCGACCCTTCGTCTTTGGTTGATTGTCCCGGATGACTACTGCGACCACCTAAAATCACTGGCGGCGCTCGAAGAGTCGTCCAAGGATACATTTTCCAGCGCCATCGCCGACACCCTCACTCCCACCGAACATGCCGACCTGCTTGATCTTTTGCATGAGTTCCGGAATTCTTTCGATGTGTCGCAACCTCAACTAGGCCGCACGTCGCAAGTCAAGCATCATGTTGACACTGGCCTACACCAGCCACTGCGTCAAAGACCATACCGTGTCTCCACTGAAGAGCGCCGCGTCATCAACAATCAAGTCAAAGATATGCTTCGTAAAGACATCATTCGACCATCTCACAGTCCCCGGGCGTCTCCTGTCGTCCTGGTGCGTAAGAAAGACGGATCTATCCGATTTTGCGTGGACTATCGTCGTTTGAATAAGATAACCCGCAAGGACGTATATCCTTTGCCGCGCATTGATGACGCCATTGACACCCTTCATGGAGCGGAATTCTTCTCGTCGTTAGATTTCTGGTCTGGCTACTGGCAAGTTCCAATGGCTGAAGCCGATCGCCAAAAAACTGCATTTATTACACCTGACGGACTATACGAGTTTAACGTCATGCCCTTTGGGCTTTGTAATGCGCCCGCCACGTTTGAACGACTTATGGATAATACGCTACGTGGCCTCAAGTGGAATATGTGCCTCTGCTACCTCGACGATGTCGTGGTTTTCTCGCACGACTTTCCTACGCACCTCCTTTGCCTCAGGCACGTTTTGACTTGTCTGACCAACGCTGGCCTGCAGCTTAACCTGAAAAAATGCCGCTTCGCTGCATGCGAGCTCGTCATCCTAGGCCACATTGTGTCGAAGCACGGCGTATTACCTGACCCAGCAAAACTTCTATCCGGTACGCCCAACCTTCCGGTATCTCGATTTCTCCGACGTCAAGCTTTCCATTTTGCCATCCACGATCAACTTCTTCATCGACGCAACTACGCTCCTGATGGTCGCCGGTGGCTACTGGTCATTCCACGCACTTTACGATCGCAGGTATGCGCCTCTCTTTACGACGATCCACAATGTGGCCACGCCGGGGTGTTCAAAACATATGAACACCTTCGCCATCGCTATTACTGGCGCGGCATGTGCAATTTTGTACGCAAGTTTGTACAGTGCTGTCCTGACTGCCAGCGACGCAAATCAACACCGCTACGTGCGACTGGCGAATTGCAGCCACTTTTGTGCCCTGCCAAGCCATTTGATCGCGTTGGCGTTGACCTCTACGACCCCCTTCCATTGACACCAGATGGCAATCGGTGGATTAGAGTGGCGGTCGACCTTCTAACACGCTACGCCGTAACAGCCGCTTTACCGAGCGCTACCGCTCAGGATGTCGCCTCTTTCATTTTACGTCGCTTTATCCTTCGACATGGCGCACCTCGAGAGCTCCTTAGTGACAGAGGCCGCGCTTTCCTTTCTGAGGTGGTCGAAGCTCTGCTTTCGGAATGCCACATCATTCATCGGAAAACGACAGCGTACCTCCCGCAGACTAATGAGCTCGCGGAACGGTTTAACCACACGCTGGGTTATATGCTCTCAATGTACGTGGCATCTAATCATAGCAACTGGGACCGTGTTCTCCCATACGTCACATTCGCATATAATACTGCAATACAAACAACCATGGGATTCTCACCTTTCTTCTTTATGGACGTGACCCTTCCCATACAATTGATACTCTACTTCCATACCGTCCTGATGCTTCCGAATGTCCACCTATCTCCGATGCTGCTCGACAAGCCGAAGAGTGCCGCCAGCTCGCCCATGCCTTCACCTTGGACGAGCAGCAACGCCGGAAAGAAAACCGTTGCACCTCTCTTCCGGATCCCAGCTATGCCCCAGGGTCTCTCGTGTGGCTTGCCATCCCATACCAAACTCCGGGACTCTCATCAAAACTTGTCCCCCGGTACGAGGGGCCTTACACCGTTTTAGAGAAAACCTCTCCGGTTAATTACCTAATTGAGCCAGTTTCCCGATCGGATGACATGCGCTGGCGTGCACGTGACATCGTCCATGTTTCCCGCCTAAAACTGTATCATGAGCCTCTCCCTGAAACTTCTTAGGTCGCCAGGATGGCTCCTTTTTCAGCGGGGGCGATTGTGAAGAAGAAGATGTGCCTGCAGCAAGCAGCATCGCCAACGCCCGGCTCTCTCAGCTCGTGCTTCAGTTCGTTGCTGTGCCGATCGCTGGATGGTTCTTCACGCTGTCTTGTCGCTGTCTTTAACAGCTAATAAACCTCTTCACAACCGCGTTATCACCTATGCTTGCCGCCTCCTTACACCTGCGGAGTGCAACTATTCAATAATGGAGCGAGAATGCCTTGCTCTTGTCTGGGCGATCTCAAAGTTCTGTTCATATTTATATGGCACTCACTTCTCCGTCATCATGAACCACCACGCACTCTGGTGGCCTTCATCATTATTGTATCGCACAGGTTGACTTGGTCGCTGGGCTCTGCGACTGCAAGAGTATACCTTTGTTGTGACATACGAGTCTGGATGCCTGCATTAGGACGCCGATTGCCTCTCTCACTCTCCAGTTGGTGAATCGCTCATCGTCACTGAGAATGGCATTTGCGTGTGCTTCGCTTCCCCATTTTTTCTGGTGTTCGGCCGCGAACCCACATTGCTCCCCAATGCAGTAATTTTATTGCCAACAGCTCCGACCACTGAATACCCCTGGACGCCATCAGCCGGGCCACCCACCCACGCGAAGCCGCTCGTACTCCCCTTCTGACTTCCCAAGAAACAAACGGCATCGGCATGATCAATGACACCCCGACGTGCACTTTTCACCCGGTTTGTTGGTTCTGCTGTGGTCTCTAACCAGGCAGCCTGACAAACTGTTGGCTTGCCTGACAAACTGCTCTCGCGGTACACAGGGCCATACTGAGTGCTTCGTGCAGTGACTCTCATCACTTATGAAATCGCTCCTGCTGCCTCGTCGTCTTCATCCACCCTTCAGGCCAGCTACATCGTACACGTCGCATGGCTGAAGCATTGCCACTCGCCCAGTGGCGTTGACGTCTAGATGTGCCGAGACGGGGTCTTTGCCGACAGAGGTTATGCTACATGTAGGCTGCCGGAATGCATATTGTCAATGCGCATGTGCTCCCAACGAAGACAACGAAGGTCACTTGCTGCTTGAGCTTGGAGCCGGACTGTCCAGGGCTGCAATCACTCTGGCAAATATATTTTGTGAATAGAATGCAGTGTAAGCGACTCATTACTCACGTAAAAATATTGACAAATTTATTTATAACTGATCTTGACTGTGATGTGGCTGAAAAGGCAGATTTATTTACTTCAGCAACATTGTTTTAAACTGTATGATCTGAACACAATGCTGTTGTGTGTAACAAAATTTTGAAATATAAGTTTCTTCTTAAGCCATCATTTTCAAATTAATGATATTGAATATCTGCTTAATGTAAAGTATAATGTGAATTCTTTTTTTTTTTCAGCTTGTCTCTTTCAAGGCCAGGAATGCACTCTTACATTACATTATGAAGATGGCTTTCTTCTACAAGAAAACCGCAGGCAACTGACTCTTTGGCAGTTTTCATTTGAAAGATTACGAAATTCTGGTGATGATGGCATGCGTCTTGCTTGGCTTGACTTTGGTGGAGAAGATGGAGAAAAGGTACTTCATTTGTATTTGTGTCTGCGTAATAATAAAAAAATAGAAAACTGCCCTTCAGTATAGACCTCTTCTCGTAGCCAGTGTGAAAACCACTACTTCTTGGCTTTACGAAAAGAAGTATCCTCTGTAACTTCTGTACTTAGAGTATATTCAGCTAAAAGCTTGTAGACAATGGTTTCGTTGAGGCTTCGATATTTTTTTTTTCAGGAGCTGGACTTGATGCAGTGCCCCAAGCCATTTGTGTTCACACTGCACACATTCCTGTCTGCCAAAGTAACCCGAATGGGCCTGGTAGCGTGACAGTTACAGGACCACCACGTTATAGCAGCTGCTTCAACTGTGCAGCAGCAATGGCCCATTCTGGGGTGCTGAGCCATACGTGCTACAGCGTGGTGGCTTCCCGGGAAGATAGCAGCTGTGCACCTGTTGCCAGGATTGTGTAAAAATATGAGCCAGAGCTGCGAGTGGGTTTAGTATGGAACCAGAACATTACTTCTGCTTGTGAGTGCTTGGGGTCTAATGGTTATGGCTTCATGCAGGTGAGGTAGCAGGTATATAGCTCAACTGCTGCTCTAGCTGCCATTCGTGTCCTTGCAACCTTTCATGGCCTGCAGATACCCTGGCAGCAGATGTGCCTGCACTAACAGCCGCAGGTGAATTTTTTCTACTGCATCGTGGTGGTCTTGCAGGCTTGTTTCCTGGGAACACACAAATATACAACTGGAGAGGACCCTCAGGGGTTCAGCATTTACACAGCATAGGAAGTTTTTACACAACTACCCTTCAGGAACACTCAAGAAGAAGCTGGGACATGCTGCCCATTTAACATGCACTCCATCAGTTGTGACCCGGTGATTTTCTAGGGTGCAACTTTTCATCATTTCACACAGCAGCATTCCTTCAAGGAATAAAAAAGGACATCTATCATATAGTGGAATTGTAATGCCTTGTATCAGTGTGTAAGGAATGAATGCTAACAAGTATGCCTCTGTAACAGAGTGGCAAGCCTTTCGAAGATTCTCTCTGCTTATTGGTGTACTACTAAAAAATGTGCTTGTCTTGTTAGTAGCAAGACAGAAATCTGTGCTGCATCATGTGACAAGTCTTGACCGGTGGACTTGCTCCCTATTGTTGCTGCATTCCAAGTGCAGGTCTTACGGTCGATGCATTATTGGCATATTGGGCAATGCCTTACCTTCAGTTCTTTATCATTGTAATGCTTATTCTGCTCATGTTTGTTATGTTTTGTTGGTTTATACATTCATGTCTTGCATTTCTGTTGCTAGTTAGAATGCAACACAGTTTCAATTGCACTTTGGAATAATCTTGTTTCCTTTGTTACATTTTGGGCACCTTTGGCTGCATTTATTGATAGTTCTTAAAGAGTATGAAAACAATATTTTCACAGTTGAATATGGCATTAATGCGACTTTTCAATCAGAGCATGAATTTGCAAAGTATTCTTACCTCATTGACGAATAACAAATGTGTGCTCTTTTACTATGTCTGGTGTAATGTCAGCTATGTTTGGTCGAAAGAAAAGTTTGGGGGGGAGTCTGCTTAGTGGCAAAGGCTCTGAAACACCAGCTATTTACAGTGGTAATAAGCGGGTGTAAATTCCATGCCTGGCTATGCGAAGCTACATCAGGCTGAAGCAGCTAGGAAAGACGTAATTTTTTTTTCATGCGTGTATGTGCAAGTCCATAATATATATCACATTCGTCAGCTAGTTCCATAATATATTTTTACTTGTTCCACATATTTTCTCTCAAAGTATGCAAGACTAATGTGCCAGGTCAGGAAACCTTCAAAATTATTTCGTTGGTTTTACACAACACTTCATTAGGATGGAATCTTAACTATTGTTCTCCATGAAAACAATAGCCTAATGACTCTTCAGCCTGAGTTGCCAACTCTTATAGGCTTACATGTTCTTTAATTAGCTTACTTTCACTTTACTTTATTGTTTGATTTTAGAATTTAGGGACTGTTGCTCTGCCTTAAGACTTTATTTTTTATTATTATTGTTTGTGTGCTATTGTGATAAGCACGAGGCGCAACATCTGAGCAGTTGCCAGACACTATACAGTGCATTGGTTCTGCCTGTAATGCTGTATAGTTGAGTGGAAGGCAGAGTCAGCAGTGTGCCTCACATCTTTAGTGTCTTCAATTCTCTTCTTTTTCGGAGGCACTGCAGCCAGTGATTTCCATACTTATTGGGAGATACTGAAACATTAAATGAGAGTGGCAGCCTGAGGTGGAAAAATAAGCCACCATGCTTATGTGAAGCTTTATTCTGCAGAGAAATTGTATCTTAAGTGATTCGTTAACACTTGATCATCACTTTCATAGAGGCAATGCCAATGATTCTAGAATCGATAGAAGTTTATAAATCAAAGGGCCTTTCAAATTTTGTTCTTGCTTAAATAGCATCTTGGCAGTTTATCTCAGCATACCCGATTGCTTGTTGCAGTCATGCTCGTGTGTTTTAACTTGTTTTTATTGTGACACTATTTGATGGCTCCTTTATTATTAATATTTTCTATGTGTGTTCTCAGAGTGTCAACAACTTTTTATGGCTCACTTGCATGTCACCTGATGTGTGCTGTCAAAATTTAATATTACATTGGATAGGACAAAGACAACTTGGGATTTGGTGTTCATGTTTCATTTAATTATTGGTTCTTCTGTTATAATGAAGCCAAAAATGCAAAGTATCATCTGTAGCATAGGTTATAGTGAGCCAAACTGTTGTTAATGCATAGCATGAATTATGTATTCTGGTGTCAGCCACAGTCACCACCAGATTTTTTAGGCACACAATTTTTATGACCTGTTATAATCATGAGAAGCCACACTGCACACCGCTGAATTTTTTTTTTATTATGGTAAGCTTGTGTGACATTTCAAATATGAGAACAATGAACAACATTGCCTCCACAATCTCACCATCAAGAATCATACTACAATTTTGTTTGCAAACTCCCAATGAGGCATTGGTAGTAAAACATAGGGGCCTAGCAAGCACAGCTGTGACAAAGCTTTTACAACAAACAGGGGAGTAGCAGATAAAAAGCCATCTCGGGAAGTTTGCCATCATTGGTTATATAGCACAAGATTACACATAAGGGCTATTCCAACAGCTCGTATCTCAAGTTTTTTTTTCGTCTGAAAAATTGGGCGCTAACTTGTGTAAGATGAGCAAGACAGCCTGCAGTTGTCACAGGGCACGTGCCACCTCCCCACTCCCTGCAACGAATTTCTGCCTACACCACTGCAGCAGTAGTGACTTAAAATCAGACATTAAGGACCTGCCTGCATGTTTTGGTTTGTGGCTTGGCTTGGTTGAACGATGGACAGCATGCCAACATGGTGGTACCGTGTCATCATACATGGATTAGTCAATTGATTAATGATGAATCAAAATGCATGCATGTAATTGTGAAGGAGACTTTCTGCTAACCCACAAGGAGGCATTATGCTTACATTTTTTTCACATATACTGAGATTTCTTTTTTTTTTCTTGTTCAATGTCACCATGCATGTTCATAAAAAATTTTGTTCATAAGAAGGTATTTTTGTGTCCTATGCAACTTCATTATAACAAAATGCATCTGTATTTTTCTAATGATGATGGAGTATAGCTGTGCTGCTTGCATTCATTTAGCTACTAATTTGTAGCTATAAAGCAGCAATTATAGATATCACAGTTTTATTTACCTCTTTGTTCCTTTGAGGAGTTTGATTGCAATTGATGTGAGAGCTTTGTCAAGAATACTTTGCACTATGCTATAGGTTGCTTGTTTAATGAACAGATGGTTTTGACATGCCTTAAGCTAATGTGAGGAATATCATGGAAATTGTACAGCATAGAAATGGGCATCACAGCTGCTTATTATGCTACACTTACCTATTCAATTGGAAAAAGTAGTCTTGCATTAACAGTTGCTAAACATTTTTATTTCTTGTTTTTTTTTCTCTACAGACACAATGTACTTGTGTTCTCTTGGCTCTTCAATGTGTGCAACTGCTGTAACTTTCGGGAGGCACCAGTTGAGTAGCAATATACCGCTTTGTGAGCAGATAAGCTGGAACGATGGAATGTAATGGGCTCTGTTACTTCTTAATATGCTTTGGTTGAAGCAAATTCTAAGAGCAGATGTGAAGCCTTGCTAGACCAGTCAATCACCTTTGTGGAACTTGTTATCTACAGAGAGATTAGCTGAAGGTCATTGAAATTGATGTCTAATCTTCTCTTGTGCAAGTTTAATCATTTACAAAACATGGTAATTCTTGTGCTGGAGCAGCTTTTGCTACTTATATCTCAACAAAGGCGTGGTAATTCGGTTAGGCACCTGAAAACAGAATTAACAATGTATTGACCAATCAAGCAAAGCACAAAAATACCTGACTACACCACATATTTCATGAAAGTCATCATATTGGGCCTTGTTGTTCCATTTTTAAATAGGGACACTGGATTATGTTAAATTACGCAAATGTGACACAAAATGTGGTGCTTTATTGGCCAAGCCAGCAGTGACATCACTGTGGGCAGCATTTGCATTTTTGATGAGCTGGTTTCATATTTAAAAGTAATTTCACCACATTTGGGCTTTTCATTTATTTCTAATTTAATGAAATTCTGCTTTTGAGTAAAAGTGACAGTTATTATTTTAATACTAGTACCTGTCATGTTGGCCCACTTAAATGTCTGCCTTTAGTGCCTTTCTCTCTCTCTCTGTTTTTTTTTTGTAGTTGAGGAGAGGGTATTTCTTTCAATGAAATTATCATCATTGTCACTCCCTGTTTGCTATCTTGAATCTTCTTTGTGTATGTCAAGGTGTTCCTGAAAAATATCTTGTATTGGCCATATGACAGTGCAGCTTTGACTGTGGCTGCAATATCTTGTTTCTAGTCACCTAGAATTCCTAATAAAAAGCTCATAGCTCTTATTTGACGCACTAAGTTGTTGTCAGTAATCTAAACTACCACTGTAAATGTGGAGCCTGGATTTTCTTTACTTATAGGAAAAGATATTGTAGGCATCACTTTTATACAAGGGACATTTTATTTGGTATATCTGTTAATACTATACATAACCAAATGTTTCCATACACTAAAAGCAAACTTTTTATAAGTGCTGCTTTGGCATGTGGAGACATGGACTTTTTATGTGTCTTACATCTTGTGGTCTTGTCTATATGTGAGAATTGCAGCTAATAAGCATAAAGAATTGTGATGAGGACGTATTTTCAGAACTGCAGCAAGCTCATTGATGTAAGCATGTCACAGACTGCAGCATCGTTCCTGGTTGTGAAGTTTCAATAATAATTACAGAAAAGTATGGCCAGTCTGAAGAGCCGAGTTCAGTACTGACAGTTCTTTTAATGGAGTTGTTGCTAGTGCCTGTAGAAGAAACAGGATATATTTGTCTTTTTGACTGAAAGTTGTAAGAGAAGCTCAGGTTGTCGTGAAAGTGAATATTTATTGTGGGATAAAGCAATAAGAGCATCTGTCACATGGAGCACTTGTTGGTGTTCAACAAAAGAAAAATAGGTCCTGTAAACTGGACCTTTTGTTGCTTCCAAGTACATTTCCTTTCTGTGGACAGTGCAAAATAATCTGAGCACTATGGGGGCCAGTATTCATTGGCTGGCAACAACCTTGTTTTTAGCCTATGTAAAGACGCTCCCTACCTTATATCATGTTGTTTTCTGTAATATTTCTTTTATACGCACAAATAAACATTCACACACAACAAGGAAAAACTGCATTTTTACAACGAAAATGGTTGAATGGACAGCAGTTAATGCCAAAAAAGCAATTCTATGAAAGGATGCAAACTTGCATGTATTGCTTCTATGTCAAGGTGTGGTCATGCCTCAATTAACATTTGTATTTATACAAAGTTTGTGTACTGTTGTCATCATTGTTTGCACAGCTGTAATGTGCATGTTTGTACACAGTGGATCCGGGGTAATCTTACCAGTGCACTGCATTCGCTGTACTTTGTATGCAACTTTTTCACTCAAGTCAATGCACATTGGTGCACTATGTTGTATGTATGCAAAGTTTTGAAGCCTGCACAGACACGCATATTGCTTTAAAGGGTTCCGAAGTAGTTGTTGATCAAGCGGGTCTTGTATTGTGGGACTCTTTTCTCATTAGTATATCAAACGGTCCATTGAACACAACTGCTGAACTGTTACACTACTGTAGTGCTGTGTGTCATTGCACGGAAGTGGAATTTACAATAAGTGCTAAGTGCCCTTATTTGCTAGCTCTGAATGTTTTTGTGACCATAGGTATTAACAGTGTTCAAATGACCTCTTCTGCTTATTTCAGTGCTTGCTGACAGTGCAGATGTAGTGTTATACTTTTGTTGTTCATTTCAGGCCTATTGCATGACATTGCCTATGCTGCTATTCTCTTACTAAAGAACAAACACGTAATGTGGTGTAGTAGTCGTATCTTTTCCTATATATATATATCCATTATGGGGAGCCTGAAGTGTTATGGTTTCTGCGTAAGATGTAGTTGCCTCTATCTACAAAGCTCTGTAAATAAGTTGAAGGAGATTGTAAAGTTTTCAGGTTTTTAATGTGATGTGAGTTGCTTTATCATAAGCCCTTTACTGTAAGTAAGTAGTTCATCTGTCTACCAAGCTTTGTTATGTTTGGTATATACAGAATGCACAAAGGGAGTGTCATGGTAGCTACTACAATGTCTATTATTGTTTCTGAGCTGACTTTGTGACCAGAGCTGACATGTTCGATAGACTAATGATCCTTGTTATGTCTGCTTTATTTGTCTTGAGATGTGTTTGCAGCACCTTGAGCTTAACATATCACTGTTACTACATTCATTTATAATGTGTGCCTCAATATGATACAACTGCCCACAACATTTTAGGTTTGTTCTCATGTCCTTCTATTTAGAAAGGTTATTAAAGAATAATTTGCGAAGTATCTTTTCATTCTATTTCACTTGGTTTGAATTTTCACTTGCCTGGGTGATATGGGACCTCGAAAAGCTACTTTAGCTACAGTTACTGTTTTTTCAGATGCCTAAAAGCTTTATCTACTATCTTGCATCAAACAATCGTTCAGCTCCAATTGTTTGTGCACTTTATTTCAGTGTAGCAAAATAAATGTTTAGATGGTTGTATGGAATTCTATCACATACAGACTGTTATGGCCTTATTTGTTTTTTATATAAAATATGGGTGATTACTAGACATATGAAAAACTCTAAATATTAGCTGAATTTTTTAGTGAGCATGAAAACCAGACTAAACTGCCTGATTCGCTTCAATTTAGACATCTGTATGGGTGGTATGCCTGGTTGATCTGAGTAGTGCTGACATGGAATTTACAGTATGTACATGACAAATGCTCCATTTACTAAAGGAAATATTTACTTTACTTAGTAGCAAATTTGACTTATGTTAATTAAGTGGTGCTAAAAGGCTTAAGTTTCACTGAGAGAATGTCTAATGAAGTAGAGCATTTACTGTTTATTTCCATTAGTACATTGTCTAGTATATTACAGATGAGGTTTCCAACATTACACAATTCTTAGCCCCCTTGAGAGGGGTATGTCCTTTACGCAAAAATGTTAATTGTGTGGTACCATGCGATAGTAACTACATAGGAAACACTAGCTCTGAGAGATCTGTTGTATCCAGACTCCGTTAATAATGCATGCACGGGCATCTGGTATTCTCCAATAAGCAGCTCTGGTAACACAAATAGTCATTCTGTCAGGCTGTTTATGACTAATCCACTCTAGATTACATTGACCTTGTGTAAATTTTTGTGAGCGCTAACCTAAATCATGAAAATACATAGTATATTGATGACATACACATATGTGTTTACATACACATGTGCATAATTTGTTGCAAGCATTTCAAAATTTCTCAATTGACAATTACTGCAGAAAGTTGATAAGTTTCACAGTGGTTTTAATTTCTGTTTGTGAATAAGGGTTACTTGATATTGGATTAATTTCCTTTGTATTTTCATGCCATGTTATTTGTGTGTTCTCACACAAGTTCCAGCTGTTACTAGACAACTGTTCAACTAGCTTAAGTGTCTGCTTTTCACATTGCTGCTGTAGAGGACAGATGAACTGAGCTGTCTGGCTGGCTGGTGTTGTGCAGTACTTGTGCCGGCTGATGTCCTGCTGCATTTATTAATGACACTTGGCAGTCATTGATTGAGGGTTAGCTCTTGTGTACAGATTTTCATCACCCTATTCTGTTCCTAATATACTTTCTTCAAACCATCTTCTTCTAAACTGTGTCTTAAATTTTAGTCTACTAAAGCTGTGTGCAAGCATTTCATTCTAAAATTTGAACTTGAGGGAAATGACGTAGGTCATAAATGGGGCTTACAGTCAAACTTCATTATAACTAAATTGCATCTTACATGAAATTAAGTTTGCTATATCTGAAAATTCGTTATAAAGGTATGTTTCTAACACTGTATCTATTGCAAGACTTCATTTACTTTGTCATAACTGATATTTCGTTATATTCAGGTTTGTTATATTGAGATTTGAGTGTATTTAGTTTAGCTTTATGTGTCAACTACTGTTTCATATCTTATTGTGAAATTTGGCATGTTGATTAAGAATGCTTTTGGCATTCTTAATCATTTGAAATGTATTATGCAATTTTTTCGTACAGCCTTTCTAATTTTTTTAGACCAAAGTTTCAGGATGTGGTGTAAAATTGGATCTACATCTTTTTGGTAACAAAAATCATTGGCACCGTGAAATTTTGCACACTAATGCCATTTGATACTGGCTTTGATCGCTACCAAAAAAAGAATGATTCCTACATTTATCTCGTCTGAAAAAAAAAATAATTCCCTCACTTATCACACATCATAATAAAGACATTCCAATGATTTTTCTCCCCTAATTATAACTCAAACGTTTTTTTTAAATTGTAGGCACAGGCTATATGGAGGAAATGATTTCAATATAATTTCATCTGTGTCAGTGCGATTTCATCTGTCAGTGAATCGGTTAGATAGTTCTTAAATGTACATCTCGGTTCAAAATTTTGCAAGAAAGTGATGTTTAGAAAAAAAAACATAATTTTTGTTTAAAAACATATATCATAGGTGCTCCAGACAAAAATTAGCGGCTACACTACAAAAGCACTCCTGGAGGGAACATATACAATCTCAGCTGATGAAAATGGCAGGATATGAATATCTAGCCATGTTTATTATAAAAAAGAAAAAAACTTGCATGTCAAGATTATGATGAAAAACAACATGGAAACAAGTCCTAGCATCTGTCTGAAAACAGGGTTTTTGATGCCATTTACAAATGGTTTTCAGCACTCCTATGTGTTTGCCATTGGATGGTTTTTGTTCCGTACAGTGTATGTTAATATTTTGTTTTAGTAAAGAAAAAAGACAAATTAGGCTTTTGCTCAAATCTCTTTACCATACCCCCTTAACAGCTTTTGTTCTAGTTTGCTGTGGTTCAATATTAACCACTGATCTAGATGAGGCAGAACGGGGTAAATTTGGTTATTGTCATACTTGAAGGAGTCACGTGATGTGCAAGCAAGTGTTTGTCATCCAGCTGCAGAAAGCGCATCAGAGGTCGATGGAAGCAGAGAATTAATTGGTTGTTACTAGTTTTGCTTACATGTTTGTGGTTGATGATTTATAGCAGTTATTGCTTGGATTATACCCTTGAAACACAGGCACTCTAAAGCCCTTTAGGTAAGGGTACATTAGGAAAGGCGATCATCCACATTGACACATGAAGCAAAGGAGCATCTGCTTCCCGTCTGGCACTGTTGTAAACATGAGTGCCCCCACGAAATACTGTCTGAGGAACAACATTGCTCTTGATACTCCTGTAAAGCAGCACAGAAAGGAGTCTATTGAAGGAAACCTGTCACAATGCTACAGTGCCTTGCAAGTATTTTTTCCTTTACCTCACGAACATCTTTTTTAGTGGTAATTTGATTAGCTGATTGGGGCAGATTTACTCTAGCTGTGCTCTCAAAAGGACTTGTGCGAAGGGTCCTTCAGAGTAACAAAAGGGCTTTATTGTAAAGCGTATTACTTTTGCCCGTGCGTCAGAGCTATTACCTATGTATTTAAGAGCAGCCTTGTTGTTTACATGGACATGCACAAGTCCTATAAAAAGTTCCGAAACGACTCCAGCCATGTAGCTGCCGTAAGAATTGCAAAATCAAGCATCTGTTTTGGCTTTCTAATTACAGTTCCAAGTTTGGTTTCTCAGTTTGGAGATCACTGTAACACTGAATACCTGTGTTTTTTCATTTGTAAGGCTCCAAGAAAAAAAGAGAGATTCTACCTAACAGATATAATGGTTCATATGGCAATACAAAAGCTTAGAAATATTGCACCATGCATATACTGAGGGAAATTTTTTCAAAATGTGCGTATCAGTGATATCAATTTCATTTTTGCATTTATTGCTGAGAAAAGAGTAAATCGAACTGACTGATGGACCTTATGATATTGTGCAGTAATCCTTAAAAGGATTATGATACATGCGGACTGTGCTCAGCATGCCACCCTCTGGTAGAAATTATAGTCGTCTCTTTCACGATCACCTTCCAGCCAAGTATAAAGGTTATCATATGTTGCGAAAAATGTGTACAGCAGGTTCACATTCCTGTGGGTATTTTAGTTTCTTCACATATTGATGGATAATTTTCAGCCGATAAATATGAAAAGCCAGCTTCAATTCCAGAAATGAAAGGGGCAATTTTGTGGGAGGACTGACACATCTGGAGTGAGACAATCAATATAGTTTAGTTATCTGCTCAATTCAGTTTCCAGTACTATGTATAGGTAGTGCCGTTTCACAGTTATCTTCTGTTACAATCGATGACTGGCATGGATTTTTCACGTGCTATTAGACAAAAATTATCTCTTCAGTTTCACTGGGCAATATTCAGGATTCTGTTTCTCTGGTTGCAATTTTGCATTTTCGATGGAGGTGAAAAGGCTCATGTATTTAGATTTAGGTGCACATTAAAGGGACACTAAAGGCAACTATTAAGTCGACGTTGATAGTTAAAACAGGGGTCCAAAAACCTCGTAGTGTTACATTTGTGCCAAGTAAGGGCCTATTTTGAAATAAAAATAGGTTTTAGTGGTCCGCACTGGAATGCGCAATTCGAATTGCCCGCCTCACTGAGTCAGACCAACCGGACTGACTCACATTACTGTTGCCGTGCATAATGTTGCCCAGCTTTACTGCGCTAGTAGCAGCAGACCGAAAGCAGCGGGAGCCACAGCAGCAACAACGGCCGTCCCGCCATTGGCTCCGAGATCGCAGACATATTTTGGTTCAACTAGGCCCCACTAGATGGCATCACATGTCCAGTACAACCATGTGAAAATTGAATTTTTGAACCACTTGTGCCATTTCCCATTAGTAACATCTGGCTGTTCTTTTTTTTCATTAATTAAACAAATGATCAAGCAGCATTTTATTGCGTCTCTTGATGCACGGAAGGTTTATTTAGTGCAGCTAGATCAATTACTAGTGATTAATTGTAGGCAGTTCATCTGATGTCATCGGGATCATTTTGAGAATGTCCTACTGTGGCGCATGTGTTCTTGTGCATTTACCTTAAATGGGTACTGACACAAAATTTCAGGGCCAAGATAGCCTGCGGGGTTGATTCTCGTGAACGTTCGTATATCATCTGCAAGATATCAACTGCGAATATGGCTTGGAAGGTATTTTAAATTCATTTTGAAGTTTGTGTGGGTGACCAACTCCATAGCGCTGTAGACACCATCGGAGGAGACCCCGAGGTGACCCCCTACTTCCCTCACGTCGCCACGCTAAGGTCAACAAAACAAGTTATGATGACGTCATAGCCGCCATTTTTCTTTTGCCGTGTTAGTTCTCTCAGTCTATATTTCTCGGCGGATGATTGCGAGTGCGTGGCCGTGGCGCGCGCTTAGAAAGTTATGTGTTTAGCAACATTCTAGTCCCATTTCCTATTCGAAAGTAATTCTTCATGCGGACCGTGCGAAAGTGTGTCGCAGTTTTGTGTGCTGACATGGTCAAGAGCTGCGCACGCTAGGTGGCGACAGTTGCACCCAGTTTTTCAAACTCTCTCAAACCGAAACTGAAATTGATTGATAATGAGGAGCCTGT